GCATGGAATCTTTTATTCCATCTTGATGATTCCAGGTCAAGTTTCACTCTTCTCCATGGTTTTTCTCACATTTTGCTGCTGCAATTGCCAATCGAAACCGTTACTTCCATATCTATCAGCAAAGGAATCTCCAGAAAACAGATGTCTGTTTATTACTGCTAGGAACCAAGGTTTTGTCTAATGCCAAAGCCTGCAATTCTCAGGTCATGAAATCTTGTATTTCATCACAAAAATTAGGCTCTCGTGATTTATGGAGAATCTTTATTAGTATCAATAATAAGGGCAAGTCTGTAATTCCACCTCTTTTGTATGGTTCAGACTTTGTCACCTCACCTAAAGACAAAGCTGAATTATTTGCTAAGAATTTTTCATCAATATCATTTCTTGATTCCAATTGTTGTGTTTTACTTGATATAGTGGTCAAACAGGTTGATTCATTGCTTGACATTCGTATCACTCCAGCTTCTGTATCTAAATTGATTTCCTACTTAGGCTCTTCTACAGCTTGCGGCCCGAACAACATACCTGTTATAGTCTTGAAGAAGTGTTTTCCGGAGCTGTCTTCTATACTTTCAGAACTATTCAATAAGTGCTTATCAGAGTCTTGTTTTCCAGCCTGCTGGAAAGTAGCATCTTTTATCCCCATTTTTAAAAATTCTGGAGAGCGATCTGATTAGTCTAACTACCGCCCCATTCGTTTTCTTCCTATTATAAGCAAGGTTTTTGAATCTTTAATTAACAAACACTTAATCTCTCATCTTGAATCTAATAACTTACTTTCTGATCATCAATATGAATTTCGATCTTCTCGTTCTACGGCTGATTTGCTAACAATAATAACCGATAGTTTTTATTGTGCATTCGATAAAAGTGGAGAGGTTAAGGCCATCGCTCTTGACATTTCTAAAGCGTTTAATAAGGTTTGGCATGCTAGTCTTCTCTATTAGCTTTCTTTTTACGGTGTATCTGGAAATATCTTTAAGATTATTGAACCCTTCTTTTCCAATCGTAGCATAAAATTTGTCCTTGATGAACAGCACTCTTCTTTATATTCTGTAACCTCAGGGGTTCCTCAAGATTCAATCCTTTTTATTTGGTAAGAGATAATAGTTCTATATTTAAACTTTTTTTTTTTTAATGCATTTAACAGTTTTTATGATAAGTTTATGATTATAAAGATTTTTTTTATGAATTATAAAGATTATTTTTATGAATAGATTCTTGTAACAGAAAACATCCGTACCAAAGTGTAAAAATAAAATTTTAAGCAAACTAGGGGCTTGGGGCTACTTTGCTTAAAAAACGGCAAAGCATTTCACGATTATAGATTATAAAAATAAAAAAAGTCCAAGTTTTTTGTTGCTATGAGGTGCGCTGAGTGTTTAAAGAATATGAATATTTCAAGTAAATTTTCTGAAAAATCTTTTGATACAAACGTCCAGTAATTGCAATGCATGAAATCGGAAAAGGAAATAGTGCATTTTTAGAAAAAACTGCGTGGTTTTTTAAACCTTTTATGTGCACTTCAAAAAGCCACATTTAATGAGGTTAAAAATAAAATATCGTTGTCATATAATCATATTGAAAATAATAGATGACCAATCCAGTTTTTGAGTTGACAGTATGAGATAATATTGGAATTTTAAATATTACTGTTTCTTGTGATGGTATATGGTAGAGAACTCTTGAAGTGGTATAATAACTGTTAATACAGTTGGTACATAAATATCGTGTATATCGTGAATATCTTGTTTGCACCAAAAAATGGAGAGCCTGTGAACTCTGAAAATTTTAACTCTGATGAGTATGTAAAAACAAAATAATCATATTGAATCTGCTAGGTCTATGGAAGCAGCAGGAGTTGTGGAGTGTTTTAATGCTACTGTTTTAGAAAGTAAATAAAGAAGTATAAATTGTTTTGAAGACGGCGACTTGAGAGTATTTTTAGGCATTCAAAAACAAAATCAATATAATGGAAAAGAAATAACCAAGCTTGAATGTGTAGGTCACATTCAAAAAAGAGCAAGACCACGAAAGTTAAAAGCAACTAGTAAAGCTTATTAGATGATTATTTTGAATTACAATTCGACAGTGCTGTGGAAAATCATTTTATGAAGTAAAAAAGGCTATTGGATAATATTTCTTTGTTCTAAAGCATTATCTTTTTATGCAAGACATGCTATGCGTCATCGAACTAATAGTTATAATTAGTGCAGATAGCAAGCAGATAAAATAATTAAATCAAATTTTTATAAACATAACAAAATTAATAAAACCAATTTTTCATAAAGAAAAATTAGGACTACCTAATGTAGCATCATAAAGCCAGAAATCATAAATATTTATTGATTTATCTATGTAATCTTGTTAAAAAAAGTGTCTTTATGGAAAACTCAAAATAGCAATGAAGCCTTGAATCCAATAGTTTGATAAATGTGTCTAAAAAATGTGTAGACGAGGCAAAATGTTTTGGTGATTAAATTTTATGAAAGCTGGCATGGCCGACGATATGGGTAACGAAGTGGAGGGGCACAATTGTCAATTTTTTAAAAAAAAGTCCTCTATATTTAGGAAAAAAAAAAGGTCTCCTTCAGAAAAAAAGTGTGGGCGGGTGGGAGGGGGGGGCCACCTCGTTGTTGGCCCTGACTGGTATACTAATTTGTTTTTCTAGCAATATATCTAGGTATAGCAAAAAAGTTGGTGTAGTAAGACAACGTCAGGAACAGGGGAAAATAAATAGATTATTGTGATGAAGAAAGAGAAGGAATACGATGAAATGAAATGAAGAAGGAATATGATACTAAAAGTTTTTAGTAATTTTGTTTATTTCAATTTCCCAATTAATTTGATAATTTAAAAATATAATTTTGGTTACCAAATTTTTTGCTTTTTGTAAATACTTATTTTAATTAAAATCTTTCTATTTTTATTAGTTTTTAAGTTTCATACAGAGGTTAAAATTTATTAACATAAATATTAACTTATGTATGAAACTTAAAAATTTAAATAAAACTCATAAAAAAACTTGGCACATCGAGGAAAGATTACAATTCTTTTGAAATAAAGAGCCTATATATATTTTAGCTAATTTTTTCAATGTTTATTATCTTATTGATGTTTTCTAAGAATGGTATTTTTTAGCTAATTAAGCTGAGAACTACTTGTTGCTTTAAAATCTTGTACAGTTGTAGTAGTATAGAATTTTTAGTATATGTGATGAACTCATTAAAGTAATACATATTTTTTTGCAGAATTATGGGCTCCTTAAGGGAGCTGTTTTGAGATAAAATTAGTTATTAACCCATTAGTTGTACATGCTGCATCTCTTTTGTTCTTTAAGTAAACTTTATAATTTTGTTTTCATGAAATCTTTGTTATACTATAAGTAAACACTGAGAGTTTAAGTTTTATAACATCTATCATTGTCTTAATATTTATAGTTAGCCTTTGACTCTTTTAGGTTACGCGACCCAGAACTTGGAATCTAAAATTTTTTTTAATCTTTTAGGCAGTTTTTTAATACTATCTAAAAAATCAATATCGTTTGGTTAAAACAAACTATTTTAGAAATTTCATCATACTACCACCTTAAACTAAAATTAACTCAGTATTCAAGATCTTTGGCGCTGTCTAAGTCAAGCACCTAGCTTTCTTCCGGATCACTTCTTGTGATTATGCAGGTAGTTCCAAAAAATCAGGCCTTAATCAGATTTATTGTAACTACCAGACCAAATGAAAGCAACGCAACCAACTACTAAAGCTGTCTAGCCTGTTCTTACGAGCTTCGGCAACTACATCATACTTTTTATCAACCCTGGCTTGAGAGCAGTCGAAAAACAACAAACAACAAAAAACTAAAGGCATCTACCTGCCACTTGAACAACTATGTTCGTAATACAAATCAACAAAATCAAAGAAATTAAAAAATCCAGATAGCCACTGACAATTTCAGTTCAGAGAACAAAAACAAAAAAAGTTTTGCTTCAAAATGAGTTTGCGAAGGGTTTTATTAAAAAATAATTGATGGATCTGTTTCTATTTTGTCAGTAGAGACAAAAAATATCTGTCTTTAGAGAGGGATAGTTCATTAATTCAACTGATTAAAGACTTCGCTGACCCCAGATTCAGATTGAACATAAATTTTTTATCCGAAGGTAAAACAGAAAGGTAAGGCTATCATTATAGCTATAGAGATTTATGAGTTTGAGATTAGAGGCTAAAGTAAACTTCAATTAATTGAGTTGGAAAAGTGTTATCAAATTGTGATGATTTTTCTTTACATATCGAATCAATTATGATTACTTTATTGGCAATGTAATTTTGGTTCCTTGGCTAAAAATGTGAAGGTGATTGTTCAAACACGTTGACAATTTTTAGAGATCCTTGCTTTTTATCATTAATAGTACGTACAACCGAATTAAAAAAAACTAATTTCCTGAAAGAACATACTAGGTCAGTAAATTAAACATTATATTTTTAAAAAGTCTTCACCACTATTAAATTGAAATCTTTTAACGTTGTAAAACTTGTCTAAGTAAAGTGCCCTGTTCGTAACATCAGCATTTCAGATCTTTTCTTTTTCCAACATTTATTCTTACCTTTATGATTGTACCTAACACCACACAACTCGGAAGATCGTAATTTATCTTCAAGTATATGATGATCTCATTTCTTGTCGTACAGGTAATCGGTTTCTGTTTAACAAAACAGGAAAAGCGTTTCCTCCTGCTGCAAGTTTTATAATTGTACGATTACAAACAATAAAATCTTTCTTTTAGCGTATAAAAAACAACTCTTTCAACGGCATTTGAATTCTTTGAAGTAATTAAGATATGAAAATGTTGAACTGTGGTTAAAATAATTAGGCAGCTATAACTTTCTTGGCAGTCGCTAGACGTTTTTAAGAATTTGTCGCCACTACAAATATTTTTTTATCTTATAAGTAATTAAGTAATTTCATATCTACGCGTTATTTTATAGCTAAAATTAAAAAAGCAAAGTTTATCTATAAATTATTGGTTTTATATATAAACAAAAATAATATACATATTTAAAATCTTCACTTTTTAACAGCTGGCGCTCTACTCTCTATTGAATATTTTCCTCTTTGTAGATGGCCAACATATATCTTTAAACGTGTTCCTTCCGTTAGTTTTTTAATCCAGATCTATAACAATAAAATCGATTAAAAAGAGTAAAAAAATTTTCAGAGGATCTTTAAACGGTTTGTGTGATCAATCAATACTGAAAATTATTACAACTTATTAGGGAAAAAAACAATTTAGCATAATTATATCATTTATATACTATAAAAGTATAATAAATTAATTTTACATAACATAACATAATTAACATAAATTAATTTAACAAACTAGCGTTAACAATTAATACCATTAGCTTAAACAAAATTTTAAAGAACTTAAAAATTCCTTAGATAAAGATGAGATAATATACCTGTTATAATAAGGATATATATAAAAAAAAGAACTTAAGAATGGAGACAAAAAAAAAATCTTATTTTATCGAAGAAATAAATTGTACCTCTTTGTTGGCTGTTATAGAATGAATCTGAGCGCTAAAAATATAATCCAATTAATTTAAAAAAAAAGAAAGGGGAGAAATAAAAAAACATTTTTAAAATTGTTACTGACTAAATGAATTTAATGAGTGATTATTTTTCATATTTGAAACTTAAATATTTAAATCTATTATAAATAACAATAATAACAATGTACTTAAATCTTTCCCCGTCTCTACTGTTTAAATATATAGCATCTCCACTTTGATACCTAAAATATATTTTTGAATAATATTATATATATATATATATATATATATATATATATATATATATATATATATATATATATATATATATATATATATATATATATATATATATTTATATATATATATATATATATATATATATATATATATATATATATATATATATATATATATATATACACAATTTTAAAATGTATTATACAAAATAGAGTGCTCAACATTCTTAAAAATTTTTGTTAAGTGATTTTCTACTTTTACATGTCTTAAAAACGAAACGAACTATACTATCACAGCAAACAGTTCAGGAGTCTGGAGTCATAACATGCCATGACATGAGCAATCAGCTGACAGGTGACATCACACAGGCAGAATTTCGTTGACAAGTGCCATTTTGGAGCAGACAAAACAAGTGCAACTTTTTTGGTTTGTTTCATTTTCTTAAGTCTGGTCCGTGTCAAAGTCACGGAAGTTTTTATTACATCAATACAGTCCACATCCAACCAAGACGTTGTGTTCCACAGAGCATTATTGTATCATCACAAGGTAAATGTATCACGGTAAGCCTTGAGAAGCGTGACTATTTATTTTTATTATTTTTATGAATTCAAGTGCAAAAATGGCTCCCGACAGTCTTGGATTGGAACTAAGAAAGAAAAGTTTTGGCAATTATGTAAGTGGAATGTCACAAAAAAGTATTTGTGATAAATATATCGTGAAAAAATGGACCGTATCAAGACTATGTTCCAAATATCGTTCTACAGGGAAGTTGGCAGCAGATAACAAAGGTGGAAGACCGCGTTCCACCACTTCTAGAGAGGATTCTATGATCGTCAGATCCGTCAAGAAGGATCCCTGGATATCATCAGTCAAGATACAAAAGCAATTAGAGCTGCCTGTATGGGACCGAACAATCAGACGACGTGCTGTTGAAGCCGGATTGTTTTCTCGACGCCCTGCAAAGAAACCGCTGATTTCACCAAAGAACCAGAAGAAAAGACTCCTGTTTGCTACATCTCATATTGACTGGAATGTGCAGAAATGGCGAACTGTCCTGTTCAGTGATGAATTGAAGTTCAACATCATTGGGAGCGATGGCATTTGCCGTGTACGTCGACCGGCCGGAAAACACCTTACGTAAACGGTTTACGTTACTGCCATAAGACCGTGAAGCATGGTGGAGGCAATGTAATGGTCTGGGGGTGTTTTTCTGCTAACGATCTAGGTCCAATACATCGAATCAATGTATAAAAAAATCCTGAAAGATGTTATGTTACCTCATGCTGAATGGAATATGCCAATAAAATGGGTTTTTCAGCAAGACAACGATTCGAAACATGCTGCAAAAGTAGTCAAGCAGTGGTTTCAAGACAACCACCTTTCGGTGATGGATTGGGCACCTCAATCTCCGGATCTCAACCCAATCGAGAACATGTGGGAGAAATTCAAAAGGCCTAGATCGAGTCTATGCCTCGAAGATGCAAGGTTGTGATTGACAACAAAGGATTCGCCACAAAATATTGATAGCGAAATACAGCTTAGTCAACATTTTGTGGAGTTGCACTTATTTTGTCCAGAAGGAAATCAACTTTTTTTAATACTTTTGATTTATTTATTAATTTTCGTGTACAAATAATGAACTTTGTGACGAATAAAACTTAAAGAACATGGTCTCTAAACAGTTACATAGTTATTTCTCTAAATTGAAAAAATGCAGCACTTTTATATAAAGAAACTAAATTAGCATTATTTGGTTGCACTTGTTTTGTCCGATATTGTATATATATATATATATAGTCATTGACTTATCCCCCTTTAGCATAACAATTCTTTTTATGCCATCTGCAGATGTAGCTAGGCAACTGAATGCAACAGATGATATGAGGCCATTGTTTTTGTATATTATACTGTACTGTATAGCTTAACTTAAATAAAAATTAACATCTTAAATTAAGATGTTAATTCTTATTTAAGCGAAACAGTTTTTAACTACTTTAAAGAAAACTATAATCTTTCCTTCAAAAGACCTTAAGTTGACAAATGCTGGACCTGTGAAGAACTCAATTTAAAGTTAAGGAGTCCTTGTCTCAATGAGGCAGCAAAAAGATGTGCTCAATCTGAACTTGATGCATATAAATGCAAATCAAAAAGATTTTATGATCGAATCCAAAAAGATGTCAATGACAAGGACAATAGTCAAAATTTTTCATTGTGTTTTGACTTGATGCAAAATATTCAGATCCCAAAAATACCAGTGCAAGAAACCTATCTGAGGTAACTTTTACTTAAAGTATTTTGTGTTCAATAAAAGTAACAAAGCACATTTTTATTTACCACCAAACCGCAGCAGGCAAGTTTTTAGATGTAGCGTGTTCCCTTCTATTTAACTATTTAATTTAGAGCAGCAGTTAACTACACTTATTCTCAGATAAATATTGGGGCCAAAATAACAACCATTCATTATGTAGGCTTCTCTTAGTTATGACTAATTAAAAGAAATTTATAATAATTGAACAATTCTACCCAATAAGAGGGCACTCCTTCCTACAGCATGATAGGGATATTAGCATAATAAAGCGAGTACTTAACGGACACGATAGGCTGTACACAGTAGACCAATTATTTGAACTTATTAAGATATCCTCAAAAAATGTGGTACAAAAATTTAAGTCCTCAGAAATTTTAAACTTCAAGACAGCAGTGGTGGCAGTTTTACAAAAAAAGATGTGTTTCTGATAAAAGCAAAGGTTAGCAAGTTAAAAAGGACAAAAACCAGTACTTTTCGATAAGCAAGTTCATGCACTGCACATATGATATAAAATTTCTGTCTAAGGTTATTGGCCAACTTTTCATTGATTCTATAATAAATTATAGCTTTTCCTTTAAAGTAATGGGTTGCCCAAACTTATGTTTTTCAAGTAAAAAAGCCTACTCTGCAGGAAAAGTACCAATAAAGATCGAAAAAATGTTAAAATATATGGAACTGGAAGATTTTCTCGACAAAAAAAGAAGTTTTTTCAAATTTTCTGGATGGATTCTGTTTCTTTTTGTTTGAGATAATATCTCCAGCTGTAGAAAACGGTCTTTTGACATCAATGGATGTGAGAGGTGCTGTGAGGCACTTTTATACTACTTTATTCAATGCTAACTTGATTTTAAAATTTACGTTTTCTTCATAGCTTTTCCAAAGTTAAAGCCATTAAGAAGCCATTGAACAAACCAAAAAACCATTTAACACTTTTTTAAAATCATTTTATCTTTTATTATTTTAGAAAATGAACGTGCATTTGATTTTATTTCAGTTTGAGATTGCACAAATATTTATGACATTAAGTGAAAAAAAAAATGAGTTTTTTTCATTATCTACAGATAGAGTTTGAGTAGAAGTCAGTTCATCTTCAAGAGGTTCAAAAGTGTCAATTTGGGAAATTACAACATGTTTAGTATTTTGCAAAGTCGCTTGAGATTTGAAAAAATACCATTTAGATTGAGTTAAGTGACTACTAAACAATGGTTTTTCAACTATGAGCATAAATGACATTGGCCTTACCAAACTGTAATTTACAAGGATCAATGATATGCGCTTACACGTTTGGGTTTTGGTTTGAACCTAGCACCTGTGATGATGAGCTCAATACTACGATATGTTCTCCAACAAAATTTTGCACTTGCAAAATCAAAAAGAGGATACATTGATGACACCTTAGCAATCAATGGAAATGGAAGGAAGCTGGTGGCACATATAAAGAAATATGGTCTTGCAAGTTCACTGGTGTGATACAAGTTTACTGGCAAAAGGAGTTGTAATAATGCAAGGTGACAAAAAAATAGAAGATACAACTTAGCTTCAACCACAGTCTGATGCAATGCATATCAATGTGGCTGAATTGGATATATTACTGTTAAAAAGACAAGGAATTGGATATTTAACTGTTAAAAATGATCTCTTTATTTATTGTTGTGATTTTAAAGTGCATCAATAATTTGACAATAATTAGCTTTGCTAATTATTGACAAAAGTCACACGTTGCATATTTTTATTATTATAATGTTTTGTATAACGACCACTAATTGTTGACAAGAGTCACAAGTTGAATTTTTAAATACTATATATAGTGAACAATTTTTTTGTAAAAACGTTGAGATTGTTGATAAGTAATAAATACATTAAAAACTAAATGGCTTCTAAATGCGTTGGATAACATTTGTATTGTATATTTCTTCATACAATATAGAACTAGAATATGCAGGATCTCAAACTAGGAAGCAAATAACTGTTCTTTTTGAAATTAAATTACCTTCTTGGCAATAGTTTGAAAAGCTCCTCAAACATTTGAACCTCTTAAATCAGTTTTTATTAAAGAATTTGATCAAAGAAAAACATTATCACCATGCACACTAGCAGACCACATCCATTCAACATCAAAAAAACATTATCACCATGCACACTAGCAGACCACACCCATTCAACATCAAAAAAACATTATCACCATGCACACTAGCAGACCACATCCATTCAACATCAAAAAAATTGCATACATAATCACTAACTGCATGAACATGTAGAAAATCCTGATATATCTTTACAATAACTTTATTTAATTACATATTATATTTATTTGTATTATATGTATTTATTTTAATATATTTGTTTATATTATATTTAATTTTAGTGAGATATTTGTAAAATAATACTACTGATATATTTTTAAAATAAAATTAATGCAAAATTTGGAAAATAATATTAATGAGATATTTGCAAAAAAATGTTACTGATATATTTGTAAAGTAACATTACTGAGATATTTGTAAAAACAACCAGTAAAAATTGTAGATAATATCATTAAAAAATGTTATAATTTACAAATTAGTAAATTTTTTTGAAACTAAATTAAAATTTTATCAAAAAAAATTCTTTTTTATTGTTTACTGATTACATTTATAAAATAATACTGGAATTGAAAAATTTTTGAGAAAAAATATTTTTAGGGGTAGCTCAAGACCCTTGAACATTAGACGGGTCCCTAATACTATCAAAAAAAAATTTCATTAAAAGTATATTATGTTGGGTCTCAAAAAAAGCAAAATTAAAAAAAAATTCAAAAATTATAATTATATAATTAAAAAATTATTATTTTAGAGTTTATTACAAAAATATTACCTTTTTTAACTAAAAATGGAAAAAGTGCTTTTTTTGAATAATAATTCCAAAAAAAAAATCCAGAATAATAACTTTTATAATAAAATTAATTTTTTTTTTAATTTTTATACAATTTCGTTTCTTTTGAGACCCAACATGATATACCTTTGAAAAAAAACTTTTTTTTGATCATATTAGGGACCTGTCTAATGTTTAAGGGTCTTGAGCTACCCCTAAAAATATATATTTTTTGAATTTTTTAATTCCATTATTATTTTATCAAATAAAACATAATTAGAGGGTGAGAGCAGACATTTTTTAAAAATGTTGTTTTAATTGTCACCCTAATATATATATATATATATATATATATATATATATATATATATATATATATATATATATATATATATATATATATATATATATATATATATCATAAACGCATTTTTTAATAGATATTTATCAACAAAATTAAAGTCACTGTTAGTAAAATAATCATCAGAATGAGTAATACAAGTATGTATCAAAATATTAATAACACAATTAATAAATCAATTTACCATTCCTTGTTATAATATAGCATATCATCTTTGATTTTAGCATCAGTACCATCCGGAAATTGTGTAGGATCACATTTTTCTACAACTTTTGCAAATATTCAGTTAATCACAAATATATATTCAGATTATATTTTTTTATGATTTGTTTTACAAATAAATTTAATCAAAATCTTAAACAAAAAAAAAAATTTTATTAACAATAAAACATTTTATTAAAATATAACAAAACTTAATAAATATTTAAAGGTTATTAAAATCTCATGTATGATACTTGTCTGAGAAACTCTGACAAAAAAAAATTATTTGTCATCAAGAATGAAACAGCAACCTAAAAGAATGGTTTCTTGAGTTCCACGCAAGGAACCTTTGCCAATATCATTATCAAAGAAAGTTTCGTGGACTGACAACTCAAATTTTAACCCTTTCAATGCTTTTTGAATGCTCAACGATGGAGGCAATGACAGAGAAAACAATGGGGGCAATGATTAAAGGTGGTAAAAAATGACTTGGATCAGAACAACGAAACTATAGATTATTAATGAAATTATTGACTTTAAGGTTTGTGTCAATATTCTTGATAAACAAAAAACTATAAATGAAAAAAGCAAAACAACAACTCTGAACATATGTCACAGAAAACCAATGTTTTTTTTTATTCAAAAGCAGGTCAAGTTACTTGATTGGCCGATTAATTGAAATTGGTTAATTGATATAATGAAACATTATGACTAATGGATCTGTGATTTGAACCAAAAAGTTGGCACATTATGTCTTAAAAAAAAAGGACCAGAATTTAAACAGATCTAGATACAAAAAAAAAAAAGTTCAAATGCAAAAATCAAATGTATGAAACAAATATTGGAAGTTTATTAAGTTTGAATGTTTCATTATGTTTTTTGCAAAGAATATAACTAATTAAATTTTTTTTGTTATCTAAAACCTTGTTTGAATTTGATGTCAGAATAATCATAAGAAAAAACACATAACATGACAAAAAAATATGTTTTATGCATAAAAAATGAATTTCACTCTTCTGTACTAGAAAAATTGTTTGTGAAATTTTTTAAAAAGTAAACAAATTTTTGCCATCTCTTTGCAGCCAGATGATCATGGGTGATGACACCTTGGGTACATTTATTAGTCTAATGATTGCACAATACTTAAAAAGTTTTTTGCATAATCATAAGCTGTGACTAATTCTTACTTACTTTACAATAATAATACAATATATATATATATATAAAAAAATATATTATATATTACAATATTACTTTACAATTTTGTATTTAAAATTTATTAAAACAAAAACATTAGTAATAAAAATACAATACAAAAAAATTCACCTGCAGTTTCTGTAATTACTGGAGGTTCAGGTTTATAGTTTTTATTGATTTTTTTTAGATCAGCTAATATTTGTTCCTCATCTAGAAGGAAGCACAGCTGAGCAGTGACTACTTTCCTTTTCTTTTCAGCAACAGGTGGAGGATCATTTGGACGCCGACGCAACTTTCTAGTAACTACAGGTTTAACTTCCATAGGAAGAATGGATCCAACACTATTGATGAGATCGATTGTAGACTTTTCAGACTCAATAAGTTTCTTTTTCTCTTGCAACTCATTTATTAAAAGTTCTTTAAGCTCGCTTTTTTTTCTCTGAAATTTTAATTTTATAACATTGATCAATTCTACACAATATTCTGCAGAATAATTCTACATAACGTTTTGCAGAGATATTCTAGGGTGACTGGCAAAACATAAAACATACTATCTTTTACAGCATTTACAGCACAACATGTAACTATTAACAAATTTAGTAGAAACAATAAGCAATAAAGGTTAAACTTCCAGAAAAACTAATTAAAATTAAACCTCAAAATCTTGCTTTGACTGACGTTTTTCTCGTTCAAACTCTTTTAATAATTCTTTCTCCTTGCAAATAATTATCATTTATAAACACTTGCGGTTAAATTATTGTTAATATATATCAAACAAATGAATGAAAAGTTTATATATAATTTTTTTACCTCATAAGCTTTGAAGGCATCTAAAAGTTTTTAAAAAAACACGTAAATAAAGATTAAGAACCAAAAATTTCTTTAAAATTAAGTCTCAAAATTAGCAAAATTATATCAACACTTAATAAATATTTTTACTAAATACATCTTAAAAAAAAAACAACCTAATAGAATATTTTATAGTAGAAAATCATATTTTTTGAAAATTTTATATATTAATTTATTCTTTTAGAGAACCGAGGTTGACATAAATATTAATGTTATTATAAATATTGAATTAAATATTTTTAATAACATTAGAGACCCATTATTTCAAGAAATAGCAAAATTAGCTCAGCATTTAGAGTAAAATGGGGTCAAATGGAATAGTTAAGGATTTTAATTAATAATTTTTGACAGAAAAAAGATATTTCCTTTTTTTTTTTAATGTTGTAGAGAGTATTGAGCTGTATTTTAATATATAAAAATCTAACAATTTTTTTGTAAAGTTTTTTATGAAATTTTATTTGATTAAAAAAAATTTATTCCATTCTACACTGACATTCCGGGAGAATGAAATACACAAATATAAGTGCAAATAAAACAACACTTTATTAAAAAAACAAAAAACAATCAATAATAATAATTAAAAAAACAATCAATAATAACAATTAAAAAAATCAATCAAATAAAATAAACTTTTTTATTCTTGTGATGATGTTGAGTCGTTTAGAGGTACTGAGGTTGAGTTGAGTTTTCACCTGTGTGGCAATAAAAATTTTTGGTGCAATAAAAAGTGCTTTTTATGTATCGCTTTGATATGCATGTTTGAGATATTCGTTTATTAGAACCATTTTATAAAAGCAGTAAGTAAAAGTCATTTAAATTCAGTTAAAAAAATTAGTTCATTGAAACTTATACAAAAAATTTATAGTTGGAGATTTATTAGTCACTTATATGTCAAAGTTATCAGGAAAAAACTTTAAAAATGCACTTTTTTGATTTTTTGTTAAAAAATTATATTTTTTATGCAATAAAACCTAAAATAGTTATTTTTTTTTCAAAATAATTATTATTTTTGAAGTTTTTTATATAATTTCGCTTCATTTGAGCACAAGGTTGACCTAATTTTGAAAAACCTTTTATTTTTCAAATAATAGGGACCCTTTAAAATTCAAGGGTCTTGGGGGACCCCTTTAAAATATTTTTTATTGAAAAAAATATTAAATCTAGAGTTATTTTATTATTTTGCACACATTTAGAGGTTGTGCCTAGTTTTTTGAAAAAAAAGTTGAAAAATAAACCACCATAATATATATATATATATATATATATATATATATATATATATATATATATATATATATATATACATATATATATATATATATATATACATATATATATATATATATATATATATATATATATATATATATATATATATATATATATATATATATATATATATATGCATATATATATACTCACATATATTTACATTAGGGTATCCAAAAAAAAAAAACGCTATCTACTGATTCCTATTCTATGTGACCTAAATTGATAGATATTCTATGTGACCAAAAGTGATAGATGTAAAATCTGAGTTTTGCAATTTTAATGTTAAACTGGCTTAACATTAAAATTAACATTAAAATTTTAATGTTAAACTGGCTTAACATTAAAATTAACATTAAAATTTTAATGTTAAACTGGCTTAACATTAAAATTAACATTAAAATTTCTTAGATTTTACATCTAAATTAAATTGGCTTAACAATTTTTTTACATTTTAGAAAATTAAAACAAAACAATTAGATACGTATAAATAATTTCCAATTGTTTTCGCTACTATTTAACTTGATAGTTGATATTTATAAATATGAAAATACAAAAAAAAAACAAACAAAAAAAAAACAAACAAAAAAACATAAAAATTATATTTATTAGCAAATTCAAAATTTTATTGCGATCATTTTGGAGGTAATCTTCATCTCTAGTAGCTGAAATAAAATCTTTAATGAGCCTTATGTTTTTTTTCTGCATCATCATTTACAACAGATATGTTTTTGATCCATGCAATAAAACCTAGCAACTGAAGATAGTTAAATACATCTATAGTGTTAAGACTATTATTGAGCCATTCTTTTATACTTGCTCTTGATATTTTAAAATTTTTAAAGAGAAGGTAGCTTTGCTCGCAAATCAACTCAGGTAGCTCTGTGGTCTCTCCAATTTGTACATGTAATGGTTTACAATACTGAAATTCATTTGGCTCTTCAAACTCAATCAACACTAACAGCATTTTTAGCTTTGTTTCAGAAGGAACTTCTTTATCCCTAAAGGACAAAACACAGAGTTGCAGAGTTAAGTACCACGTATGGCGTCCCATGCTGAGAAGCAAAGCATTTCCAATCTTCTAACTGACTTTTCTCAATGCATAGGCTGTCTGGATAGCTTACAAATCATTAAAAGGAGCCAGAAATCCTAAAAAACTTTTCAAAAACCATGGAGCATAACAAATTGCAACTGATATTGTCCAGAGAGAATTGCATCAATCGCTAACAATGTTCATAGGGAATGATGCCAATTTTTAATAATGTCCTATGGGAATTAATTGTGTACCAATTATTACATCATATTAAAACATATTGAAATACTAGATAGCACTATTTTTATGTAAATACACATATGTGTACAAAACCGCAAAACTCTGAAATTACATCTATTACTTCTAGCTTTTAGAAAATTTAAAAAAAGCTTTTGGTAGTTATTTAGGACCTATAGAATGGGAATCAGTTGAGAGCATATTAAAGTTTAAAAAAAAATCATATTTTTTGGAAACTCTAATATACATACATATATGCACATATATAAATATATACATATATACACACACACACACACACACACACACACACACACACACAGATATATATATATATATATATATATATATATATATATATATATATATATATATATATATATATATATATATATATATATATATATATATATATATATATATATATATATATATATATATATTAGGGTGGTGCTTAAAACAACTTTTTTGAGAAAAACCTGCTGGTACCCCCCTAAATGTGTTTTATCTAATACAAAAACACTAGGTTTAAAACTTTTTTGAACAAAAAATATTTTTAGGGGTAGCTCAAGGCCCTCAAAAATTTGACGGGTCCCTAATATTTTGAAAAAAAAACTTTTTCTAAAGTATGTCAACCTGGTACTCAAAATAAGCAAAATTATATAAAAAATTTAAAAATGAAAATAATTTTTTATAAAAATAATTTTTTCAGGTATAAATGCATAAAAACTATTGTTTTTAAGCTGAAAATAAAAAAAGTCAATATTTTCAGGTTTTTTGAGAATAATTTTTTTTAGGCATGTTTTTTATGTAAAATGATTATTATTTTTGAAGTTTTTATATAATATCGCTTCTTTTGAGTACCAGGTTGACATACTTTAGAAAAAGTTTTTTTTTCAAAATATTAGGGACCCGTCAAATTTTTGAGGGCCTTGAGTTACCCCTAAAAATAATTTTTGTTTAAAAAAATTTTAAACCTAGTGTTTTTGTATTAGATAAAACACATTTAGGGGGTACCAGCAGGTTTTTCTCAAAAAAGTTGTTTTAAGCACCACCCTAATATATATATATATATATATATATATGAATAAATGCCTTGTTAGATAACATGTCTGAATCCCACTGAAATAGCCTGCTGCTGGGGGCTTTACTACATACATCCACTATTTTATAGTCTGCTGCTGCAAAGGAGTGGCTACAAAATTTATGCATGTACTTTTTGCACCATAAGTATTACAAAAAAATGGTTGTTCTTAAAATTCTTTAATTGTCACTTTTGAATTTGATTGAAGTAGTAATGCAGTTTTATTTACTTCATTTTAATTTTTCTTAATTTTGGCAATAAGTGTTTTTATCCAATGTTTGTATTACTTGGATTAGCATCACTTTTATACAAAGAATATTTAAAGCATGCGGGACAAGTGAATTTAACTATTGCAATAAAATTGTCGTTTTTTCTGCAAAAACTTTTGCAATCTGGTGAATTCGAGTTAATTTGCTCTTTGGTACATAAATACATACATACATACATACATACAAAAATATGCACACACACACAAGTATGTGTGTGTGTGTGCAAATATGCACACACACAGGGTACTAATTCAAATATTTGATAATTATCTCTAGACTTATTTATAAATGCAACAATGAATTTAACTAAAAATGTACAAGCTACTCTAATCCAGTCTTCCTTTTGCTTTTTCAGCTCTTCTAACATTTCGAGATATTCAGGTAGAGTTCCTATAAAAAACTTTAAATTTAGTTAATAAATTTGATTAAAAATTAAATATTAAAAATAAAGGTAAAACACAGAATTTAAATTAGTTTGTATCCACTGTAGTCCATAAATCTTAAATAGCTTTGAGATGGATTTAAACACTGTTGTAACTATAAAAAAAATTAAAAACTTAAAGTGATTATTAAAAACAACTTACGCCTTTCTAACTGCTGTAGCTTATCCTTAAGCTCTTTTATTTTTTCTTGGTACATTCTAAACAAAAAGTAATAAAGTAAAATGAATATGGATGTTAATGAATAAGCACAAAAAAATATTTCAAGAACAATGTTGGAATTTCAAGACCAATGTTGGAATTTAAAGATTAATGTAAGAATTTTAAGACCAATATATTAATGTTATAAATAATAAATAATATACATGCATTATTATACATAATAAAAAATTGTGTAATAAATGTTATACATAATAAAAAATATACATGCATTATTATACATAATAAAAAATTGTGTAATAAATGTTATGAAAAAGGTAAAATATCGCAAAAAAACAAACAAAAAAACTGTATATAGTATATAGTAGACAGTACAAAGTAAACAAAATAGAATTATAAAACCAAAAAATAAAATAAAAAATACTTTTCTTTCACTTCACACATTTCTTCTTCAAGTGTTGCCATATCTGTTTCACTAGCATCTTCAGTGTCTAGCAAGAAAAATAAAGCTTAATATACAAATAAAAATATTTTTAGTTTTATTGTTTTTATTATTTGTTATTTAATTTATACTTGTTTTTTATTAGAAAATCTGAGTCCTGGATTTTCAAAATTAGCTTCATACTTGAAAAGGTCCAATATATTTACATGTTACAAGATATTTCATTATCTTTTAACATGTATTTTAATCAAGACGAAGCTTGATAAAATAAAATCTAGACTAGAATGATTTAATGTTAATCAATAATTATTTAATGATAATTGAAGATGGGTGGATGAAGGATTTTTATTTAATTACAATTTGCAAAAGGAAGCATTGTTTTCTTCTACTAATTATGATAGTTGTTTGAGGAAAATTATAATAATTGTTTGAGGACCTTTTTGAGTCCAGACTAACCACAAGCAAAAAATATATTATGTGTATTAGTTGTATATACTTATAAAATATATTGCTAATACCTTAGAGGAGCTATTTCAATTTTTTGCATCAACAAAATTTATATATATATATATATATATATATATATATATATATATATTATATATATATATATATATATATATATATATATATATATATATATATATATATATATTAAACTTTTAACTAAAAATTTTTTTAACAAACAAACCCTCATCAGAGTTTTGCAAGAAATCATTGTCTATATTTTCATCAGTATCTCCAAACATAGTGTCCCAAGGATCATCAGATTCTTTTTTAGAATCATCCCACCATAATTCATCTTCAGTCGATATTTCATCTTCATCTTCACTTGCTGCTTGCTTTGATCTACGCGATTTTAATTGTTCTTTTTCTTCAACCTAATTGAAACAATAACATTAAAAAGCAAAACAATAAATACAAAATGATGACCCTTTTGACCCACCCTAACCACATGACCCACCCATACTCCTAGTAGTACCATACCATACATAAGCTGATTCTCTGCACAGTGACCTTATTCAATAAAGGTCATGAGTCACAGAAATAGTTAAAAAAGAATTGTAAAACAGCCATATATAAGCAATATATATGAGCTATTTTAGGTAAGTTTGACCTTGAATAAAATATTTAGGTAAATTTGGTCTTGAATAAAATTTTTATAAACAGCATGGCCACATAAAATATTTATAAAAAAAAGAGGATATTAGAGGATTTTAGTGGAGATTTTGCATCTAGTTTAGAGGATTTTTTTGGGGTAACTACCAAATTTTGAAAAAAATTAGAGGATTTTTTATATTATACGTTTAATGTCTGTGTTTCCACACTTGTGTGATTTGGATATGTTTCAATAATGCTATTTTTCATGTTAATGACAAAGATTTGCTAAAGCAATTCTTTACAATCGAATGCTCTTTTAGACGTTAACCAGTTTTGCAAACCAGGAGCAGGTATTTTAAAATTATACTGCCATCAACAAATGATAAACTTTATTAAAAAAAACTCAAAAATTTGTGAATAATTAAGGCATTTTTTAAGTTCTACCAACTTTACTTTCTTGCATTTCAGTTCACTAAGAATACTCTCTTTATCAACTGCAGCGTTTTTCAAGGCATTACATTTGGATAAGATAATTAAATCATTCTTTTTTTCTGCCTCAAATGCAAAGTTATCAGCATCTTTATTAGACTTAATAATAGTTTTCTCCAAAGAGAAAAAAGAATTTCTTGAATTTCAAAAGCTTAATCTCTTTTTCACTCTTCTCCATTCTCAATTTCATTTTAGATTTAAGAACAAATGATTGTTGATATTTTTGACAAGATAATTTGACATGAGTTAACAAACTCTTTGAAATCGAAAATTTAATCAGTTAACAAACTCTTTGAAATCGAAAAATTGTGTAGTTTAAAGTTTTTTCATTTCATATAGTCACAAATTATTCGTTGAGAAATAAGACTTTCCATGTTAATATTTTTAACAAGAAGCACTTTGTTTACAGGGAATCCTCGCTCAAGAGTAGTCTGAACACAAGATAAAACTAGAACTGTTTGGGAAGCAGACCAAAGAGATCTATACTTGGGACCTTAACCAATGTGCTTCCAAAGAAATAAGTCCAATTGATTTTTAGATTCTTTAAATTCTCTTAAATAGTTCTGTATTTGCCTTAACAACATTTGATAACAATTTTGAACTATCTTGTTTGGCTTTAATCACAGTTTCAGATGTCAGTTTTTTTTAAACCAACAAGAATTTCAAGCATTTTTTCTAATAAAGTTGTTGAAAACTCAGCCAGTTCCAATATAACTTTTTACAAAAACTAGACAAGAACTGTAAAATGCATACAAAAACTAGACAAGAACTGTAAAATGCATACAAAAACTAGACAAGAACTGTAAAATGCATACAAAAACTAGACAAGAACTGTAAAATGCATACAAAAACTAGATAAGAACTGTAAAATGCATACAAAAACTAGACAAGAACTGTAAAATGCATACAAAAACTAGACAAGAACTGTAAAATGCATACAAAAACTAGACAAGAACTGTAAAATGCATACAAAAACTAGACAAGAACTGTAAAATGCATACAAAAACTAGACAAGAACTGTAAAATGCATACAAAAACTACACAAGAACTGTAAAGCATCTGACTGAAGATTGTGTAAATGATTATCACTCAACTTCCCTTTTTTTGTCAAAACTTTGACATCATGTTTTATAGCAAAACCAAGATCAACTGACTCCAATAACACTTGATTTATTTTATCAATAAAGTTAATTTTAAGCAGCTTATATACATAGTTTTCCTTTTCTAAAACATCTTCCTTCAAAAAGCAGCTGCATAAATTACAAAGAACATTGTCTAGTGACTCGGTAAGAAACAAAACCATTGGATTGTCAGTCTGAAAAGTGATTAAGAATTCATTTAATGATGCTGCAATTAACAAAATCTAAGTTTCTGCAGAATAGTGGGATCTTCAACAGCTTTAGCAAGACAATCAAACCTGGTGTTTTGTTTAGGTTTTCTATTTCCAGGTTGCTTCAATTTTGGTAAGCTTTTCCAAAACTTTACAACTTCAATTATCTTGAGCCAAATCATTTGGCACATTTGGTAACATTACTATTTTCAATCAATCGGTGAGTGCAGAACTTAAGAGGATAGTCTGAAAAAGTTAGATGTTAGCTGTTAGACATTCATAGTCAGCTCTACGGAAAGCAGACTCGTCAAATATTTTATACAAAGAAATAAGTAATTTCTTAATGTTCCAGTCAGTAGCTTTTTCTCCAGTTTGGAAAAATTGAGGTTGGAGACTAAATGTCCCATTATTAATTAAAGGATCAAGTAAATCTTCTTTTCTGCTTATTTAAGGATCAAGTAAATTTTCTTTTCTGCTTTCATTAGGACCCATCAGAAGAAATTTGGAGGACTTTAGTACAATCCAAAGAACTTAATTATTATATTTAGAAAAAATATTAATCACTGATACTTTACCTAAAAACTCAGAACTCCAATAAGACATTTTTACTTCATTGTCTGTTTCATCTCAAAAACGAACATGAATATAAAATGTAATTGCATTTTATTTTTCCAAACGTGACGCTTACAGTAATTTTACTGTCTGGAAACATGGAACAGAACAGTTTACTTTTTGACTCTGAAGAACAGTATGAATGTTTGAACATTTTAAATCTTCTAGTGACCAAATTAATTAAAAATTAATTTAATTGAAACAAAATTAAGCATTTAATATCTGACCTCTTGACATCATATCAATCAAATTCGCTTGGTTTTGAATCGTTTTCTGTTCAGGTGGATTAGTTACTTTAAATAGCTTTTTAAAAAAAAATTTCTTACTGCTATAAGATGGACATCTTGCCACATGTTTCTTTCCTTTAGCACGCTGTTTTATATTTTCTGTTCCGCTGTTTGCAATGCTGAAGGAAGAATGCTAAAGAACAAACTTCACAAAACGCAATCGTTTCAAATTGTTTATCTTTTTGCAACCAGCAT